TGTGATCCCTAATTCTGTGTTGTTTTCATTTATTGATTTCTTTAGCTCATTGTTTAAGTCATTTTCTATTAACGTTTTGTTGGATATTGAGATATTTAATTTTGGTGTTTTGGGGCTTTCTTGGACTTTTTTGAGCTTTACTTTGATGTAAGTTATTACAGGGTTATGGTCTGAACCGATATCTGCACCAGGATATGTCGTTACTCTGGTGACGCCATTCTTAAATTTCTTGTTTACCAGAATATAGTCTATCTGATTTCTAATCATATGTAGTGAATTATCTCCTGGTCCCCTCCATGTGTATAACCTTCTTTTGTGTAATTTGAACCATGTATTTGCAATTATCATGTCATGTTCTTGACAGAACTGGTATAATCTATCGCGCCTTTCATTGCTCTCCCCTAGTCCATATTCACCTACCAGGTCAAATCTTCGGCCTTGGCCAATTTCTGCGTTAAAATCTCCAATAATATATGTGACTTCGTTACTTTTTAGATTTTTAAGTGTCTGTTTTAATTGGCTATAAATGATTCGACATCATTCTCATATTTCTTTTCTTCAGTAGGGTCGAGTTGATACAAATTTTATTTAAAAAATTGATTTCGCACACGTAATTCATTTAAAATCGCCGGTTGCTTCAAGCATTATTTCTGAGAGAACGGTTTATTCTACTGGAAAATGGTAATTAACATTTTTATTCAAAATTGTCTGAGTTACATTTCCTGTTTGACAAAATTTTTCTACGGCTTACAGATCCGATGTTTTGTAAGTCGATGTTTTGCGTTCCCCCTCCTACTAGGATTTTTAGGAGTGTCTTTTTTGGGGTCCCAAAATTGATATTCTCGATAAAATTCAGCTTGTTTGTATGAGTTTTAGATGCTCTGTGGCATTTTCGCCTCTGACGGATGGAGTAGATCGTTTTTACTACAAAAAAAAGTATATTTTTTGAACAGTGTAATATTGAAATCAAAAGATATTAAATATACACGCGTTTTTGTATTTGAATATTAGAAATCCAAAACTCGATAAAATATTCCAAAAATTTACATAATATTTATGTGAAACACAAGATAAAAAGAGTAGATGTAAGAGAGCTGAGATATAGTGAAAACAGAGTAGAGGTAGATACACACTTGCTTTAAACAATGAACCCAAATTTACCAATATGGTGTAAACTGAACACAATGAATCTAGAATGTCTTATTTATATGACAATATACTGCACAACTTACACAGTATTTGTTACTACAAACTAAACACATTACAGTTCATAGTATTGGCTTGACAAGTCCACTGAACGTATTAGTATGCACCACTATTTATTCGATTAGATCAAATACTGTAAAAAATCGTGCAGTAATAACGTGCATAAAAATGTAACAATTATCAATCATTCCACATCCCTTATGTAAACAACTTTACGCCGCCACTGGCCAAAAATAATTTCGATGTAGCTAATTTCTCGATACATTTTGATCATTGGCATCCATTAGCATGTGTACTGTGGTAAATAGTAGATTGATTTTAAGCATATTTGGACTTTTTAACTATTTTTCTTACAGGAACGATTATTTACAAATTAGTAATGCATGAAATGAAGAATCTGCAAGGTGCGTCCAACAACAAATAGTTATTTTTGAAACTTAATGGCACAAAACAATGTATAGTCTAATTACTGCTAATTGAACCAGCAAATAATTAAGATCTCTATTTCGTGTCATTGTTTACAAAATTGTTTCCTATGTTATTTGTTGCTAGTACTTCCTAGGTGTCTGTTTATTTGGTTATATCAAAGCAAAAGTTTCGTTATAAGAACCGCTAGCCAGGGTTGTATTCTAAAAATATATCGCAGACTTAATAACTCTCGGGTTTAACGTATAGATGGTGCCACTAATAATGAATCCATTTAATTTAAAAATGTCAATTGTCAAACTTCACTTGCCAAAATTGAAGTTCTATCCATTAGTTTATAAGTTACAGCGGTTTAACTGACGCTAATTTTTAAAACGGTAGAATCATCGAAATTTTGTGTGTTGATAAAAAGCCTTGCTTACAGATGGGAAAAGTCCTGTTTAAGAAAGCAAACTGAGTACGCTAGATATTTTTGCCTTTACCTTGAGAAAGGAAAAACCAATAATAACAATAATTACAACTGTCAGTATGACATATAACAAGGGGACCACCGAAGCTGAGATATAAGGCACACAGAAAACGATATATTAATTTATAAAAAAATTGGACAAGCAAAGCGTAAGGTAGATAGATAGATAGATAGTTTATTTGACTGTAAGTTACAACTAGGTTTACAGCAAGTCAAAACTAAAATTATAAATATTAAATATTACAAAAAAAGAAAACAATACATTAAAAATATTTAAGACATTAAAATACTTAAAAAACGTACAATATAGACATATAATTAAAATATCAATAAATTTGGTTATGTTGCAGCTTAGGCATTCACAGATACACCCTCGTAATATTCACCTAATGTATAAGGACACATGGTCACTAGGTACTCTTTGACTTGGTTTTTAAAAGCTGTAGTTGAATTTATGTTTTTAAAATTTTGAGGAAGTTGATTATACAGTTGTAAACCACAGATGGTAGATGACTTCCTACTTATTTCTAAATGTCGATAGGGTACTACAAACTGTCTCTTATTTCTTGTGTTGTGTGAGTGAATATCACTGTTACATAAAAAAGTTCTTTTATTTTTATGAATTAGTATCAATAATTCCAAAATGTAAATTCCATACACTGTTAATATATTCAAATCTCTAAATAGGTTTTTACAAGACCAACCATACGGAACACCTGCTATACATCTGACAATACGTTTTTGGGCCTTGAAAACGTCCTTTACACTAGAAGAACCACCCCAGACAGTTATACCATAACTTATTGTCGATTGTACCTCAGCAAAATAAAAAAGACGAAGGTGTTGCAGACTAAGTATTCTACCCAAATTTCTCAATTGATAACATTTAGAATTAAGTTTTTTACATACATTCCAACAATGAGTCTTAAAAGATAAATGAGAGTCAAAAGTCACTCCTAAAAACTTCACATCACTACAACTCAAAATATCCTCACCATTGATGGAAATACTTAAATCAGGTTTGGTTAAATTTGAACGTGATGTAAATGATAAAAATTTGAATTTTCAGATGGTGGATCAGAATGAAGAAAAATTCTTGAAAAGAACAAGATGTAAAAAGAGTTGTCTAGGAAATAATGCTAATGATGATGTAGTGAGCAGGTACTTGCAAATATTCTATCAAATATTAGTTATCCTAATGATAATCTTCTTATCGGTTTGTTGAGAAACATACAATATACTTACGAATAATCATTAAAAGAGTGTAATAATTTTCCTTCAATAATGTCAACGAATATTTCAGTATCATTCATCATTAATATTTTAATGTCACACTTATCTGGTTTAGACACTATATAAATGCGAAACTCACATCTACCTCTATACCTCATTAACTGCTCATCTATAATGCAATACGAGTGTGGTGTGTAAAATTTACGACAATTTGGTGCTGAATTTGTCTCATATCTCTTTAACACCAGCTAAATTATGATTAATCCTTTCGTTTTAAACGATTTTATCTATTATTAAAATTAAGACGAGGTGCTAAATATTTTAAATATCTCAAAAACACTGCTGCTCTGTATAGTAATTGATACTCTATATTTAATTTTCCATAGTTCTTCGGTGTTAATTCAGTTCAAAGCTCTAATTTTTGTTACATCTGCGCTGCTGTTATATGACTATTCATTCTTTGTATAAATTCTTATTATGAAAAACAATTTTATTAAAAATCTTAATCAAATAAAAGAGGTTATGCTTCTAATGAATTCTTTTTTGTGGTTATTATCCTCCTTTTTCACGTCTTTTCTACTTCATGTATACTTGTTTTTTAACTTTTATAAATATTACTGACTTGAAATTGTCTTCTTCCTTTCTCATTTTGCTCCATCAATTTGTTTACTGTTAAAAATCTCTTAAGATTGAAAATTAATTAAGTGAATTGCTACTTTAAAAATTATTTTGAAATCTATGAATTACTAAGTTAATGAAATTAATAAATTTAAAAATTGTTGCACCTTGAGGACATATAATAAAATTTAGTAATCACTATATTTTTTAAAACTAAACGCTATGAGCATTTAAATGCAGCTAAGCTAAAAAGATAAATATAGACATATAAATTAATCAGCAATAATTTGACCGTACTTATAATATGAATAGTCATTTGTCACAAAGACAAATTAAGTGTGAAATTGTTATAAATCACTTACAACGGGATTTAGTGTTTCTGCTTGTAAAACTCTCGGCTTTTGGGCCAAATAAAAGAAAACAACAAAATGTACTTACAGATTTAAATTGGCCCGGGTCTGAGACCTGGCTCATTCAAGCTGTGGGTGTATAGATGAATTCTGAAAATATCGTGGACAGAACATGTCACAAACAAAGAGCTTCTGAGGAGGATGAATAAAGAAATAGAACTTTTAAATAGAATTAAAACAAGAAAATTGGAATATCTCGGACATATGACACGTGGAAAGAAACACACCTTGCTCCAGGTTATGCAGGGAGAGATCCAAGGAAAGAGAAGCATAGGGAGGTATACCTGAGAGAGTGGTAAACCTGAGAGAGTGGTAAACCTGAGAGAGTGGTATGGATGTACATCAAATGAACTTTTCAGAGCAGCCGTCTCAAAAGTCCGAATAGCTATGATGATTGCCGACCTTTGCCACGGAGATGGCACTTGAAGAAGAAGAAGAAGGGTCCGAAAAGTAAAGATGCAGTAGTTGTTGTAGACTGGCGCCAATAAACTAAACCATTCAGCGGTTGTGTCACAGAAACACGCACAGTGTCATAGGTAATACAGTGGCACGCTAATCACTAGCGAACTCAACTGCCAGACATACGCAGCAGTAAGATGTATGATGTTAGATGTAATAGACAATATGCAACTTACAATATGACGGAGACAAGATACCATATGCAAAATCCAAGATGCAAGTTACGAGATACTAAGTATGATGTATAGATATACGATGTATGAAGGCAAACAGAAGTGACATCAAGTCTATAATTAATAAAAAAAATCGAAATTAACTGGATAGTTACAAGACATAATCTGAATAAACGACTTACCACCAAGTTGACGTGCCTATCTCAAATGCTGGGACACAAATAAAGTAATAGTTTTTGAAATACGTATAAAAGCTTAAATTTTCTCTAAAGAGGGGATTTTATGGCTCATGCGAGATTAGCCCCTAATTATACTTAAGAAATTAGAAGCGACTCGGGTGAAAGGGACTAAATTGATTTTTGGAGGTTTTTTAATAAGTGAGAGAATTACACCTGTTTTTATAAGTGAAGGGTTAGTGTATAGACAAAACACACAAGCTATTGACTTGTTTCTGAGAAGGAAAAGGATCATAAGAGAACCATGACTTGCCGTCGATCTGCCAGTTAGAACGCGTAACATATCTGTTCTAAGGATTTGTTAACCATAATCGTAGCTAACAGAAATTTGTTAGGGCAAATATTTGGAAGAATTTGTGGGGTGATTGAACATGCTTCACTGGTACTGCTATCGTCGAACCTTATGACACGTAGGAGAGTGTAGAATTGTCTTTCAGTCATCATTGCAGCAAATAATTTAGGTGCGGCTCCATCATTAGCCCATAAATCAGACGTATTGAGATGATGATTTTTTAACACCTACCATCTATAAAATCCCAATGAACGCATTTATTTTATCAAAATCTGTGTATGTATCTGTGTATGTATGTATGTATTCCAATTTCCAACAATCTAAAATTGTTAGCCTGTAGCGGCTAATCTAACCCCAGGTAGAAAAAAGCTATTATGTTAGCTTGTGATGTTTTGTTTCTAATTATGATTTAATTATTAAATTAAACATTTAGTTTGCGTTTGAACCGTTCTAGTCCTTTTTTCTAACTGAATATTGGTTCGGTAGATATTTACACTGCTCATTGTCCTCTTCAACACCTACAATACCAAGAGCATCGTCAATATCGTCGCCAATTCTATTCATATTTAGTTACCCTGTCCGGTACCTTTGAACATGCGAATCACTACATTCTTCCTCGAGGTACTTGGTACGAGGTACCAAATTTTTCATCAAGTTATAGCGGAAAAGGATAAAATGTTACGTTTTTCTAACCCTGGATCCCCGGTTAAATATATATTGATATTTAAAAAAATACGCAAAAATAAGTAGAATTTTTAAACAAAACCTTACGTGATAGACCGGATAGACAAAACATGTGTTTTCCAGTGTAATCAGAGTATTCGTCCTACTCATTATCACTGAAAAAGTCTATTCTCATCTTTGTCTAAAATTTATTTATGCACATTCCTTTTCAACTCCCTGTCAATCAAAGGTTTTTGTTTCCAGGAATTACTATCTTTGACGATTATGTATTCTTTTAAGCTAAAATATATAAAAAAAAACAAATGGAAGAAGGAAAGAAAAAAGATAAATGAAATGACACTCTGAGGTTGAAATAAACCCACACGCAATTGAGTCACTGCAAACGAATTATTAGAGATAATCATAAATTAAAATTGTATTCAAAAGTAAATTAGCGATAACTACATATTTAATCAGGCATCCGGAAATTCTATTTATTTATTTCTGTTTATATTTTTTACCACATATATTGATATTATATTATAGGGTATCCGCTGCATCAAAAAACATATCCGAATTGTAAGTCTTTGGATTTTTTATATTTACATAACCGTAAATAAAGTAAATTTCTTACATCATTATAATACGGTTTGCATACTTTTTGTTACTTGCTGGTTCAATCGGGAACGTATACACTATACCTACATGTTTTCTGATTTGACACCGCAATGTGAAGAATAAATTATTACTACACACCTTGTAGCACCAACAGCATTGTTTGATATTATTTTTATTTAATTTTAAGTTATCGGTGCATGGCATTGTTTGTGTTTTATTTTGTTTTATGTGTTTTTGCTTGTTAATAACGACTCGATTTTTTCCATTTAAAATATTAATTATATCTGAAAAAAATGTTACCTATATATTTGATACTACTATGATTTTCAATTGTTTTACAGCATATTAAGCTTTTGGTTATTATTGACAAAAATGCAATATATTTCTGAGAGCTTTAATGGGAGCTACTATACCTTTTTTCATTAAGCGATGCAGGGCATATAAACAACGATAAATTTAACAGATAATTGTTAAAGATGTTCCAAATGAGTCTACTCGTTCCGATAAGTAACAGTGTAATTATGACACTTTATTATTTTTTCTTTTCTCAAATATTCGTGTTTATTACATAGTAAATAAATTAATGCTATCACTGAATACATAGTAAGTGAAAAAATAATCCGATTTATAAAATTAATGAATATTTTATAAATGCAAGTAACAGTTCTTCAAAAATATTTAAAAACTAACCGAAATGTCCATCTTTATTTCGTCTGCCAACGTTGTCGGCAGCTCATACCGGTTCGGACACGATTTAATGTTTACATCTTCCTGCATCGCTTAATGAATTTTACTATAGATACTAATGTTGACTTACATGTTGCTTAACACGTAATTCGACGTTCCTGAGAGTTAAACAAGAACTACTAATATATTAGAAAGACTGTCATACTTGGGAGATTTTTATCTTAATATTTTTTAGTTCATTTTTTTAATTTTGGATATAATAAAATTCCGTAATTTCAATCTCCAAAAATATCTTCATCATTATTATTATTATAATAATAATATAGTATTAGAATTGTTCCTTATTTTGCTTGCATTTATCCATACAATCAGAATAAAAAACCAGAATCGATAAAAATAATGGTGTCGATATTACTAATTTCTTTAAATCTTGCTAACATTAATCTTCATAGACATTTTTTGTTTAATTGTTTCCCACGTTATATTTGCTTGGTCTTCCTCTCCTACTAGCGGTTCTTGTTATTGGATGTTTCTCATTTTAACTTTGAAATACTTTAATCATTATAATATGTTCTCCCGTTTCAGCATCACTTGATGCCACACCTAGACAGCCTAGGTAAATTAATTCTTCATATCATTATCAGTTGGCGCCTTCCTGAGTCTTCCAAAACATTATTCCAGCCTTTCCTGTCGAGTGCCTGTCTTCTCCATCCCCTTACTCATCATCATCATCTTTGGCTCTACAACCCTGGGTAGGTCTTGGCTTGTTCAAGAATTAGTCTAAATTCCCCACTATCTTGCGCCCCGGCTTTCTAATTTCTGACCCCACGATTCCTCAAGTCATCTCGACTTGAGTTTTAAATTTAGATCTTGGCCTGCCTCTCTTCCTGGTTCCTACTGGTTCTTGATAGAATATCTGTCTTTATGGGTCTCCAGTGTCCATTCTAGCCACCTTAGTCTATTAATTTTAATAGACCGGACGATGTTGCATTTTTCATAGCATTGATACAACTCAAAATTGTAGCACCTGCGCCTTATCCCGCTTTCTTGTACTCCTCCGTATATGTACCGTATTCTTCTTTCAAAGCGGCCTAACAGTTCTTCGTTGCTTTTTACCACAGTCCATGTCTCTGACGCGTATGTCAAGACAGGTTTAATAAGAGTTTCATATATTAGTATCTTGGTTTTTCTGCTAATTTTGTGTGATGTTAAGAACTGCTTAACTCTTGTCTTCTCTTGTCACCAGTGCCGCTATTTGTGAGCTGTTCGTGACCTTCATGTATTTTGTTTTTGATACGTTTACCTGCAGTCACATTGACTTCGCGGCTTTTTCTAATGTTTCAAAAGCCTGTATCAGTTTTCTTTTTGTCCGTGTACTATGTCTGTGTCATCTGCGTAGACCAATGTATGTACACTTATATTTGAATAATATTTGAATAATTCCCCTTACTCTAATCTTCTATAAATCTTCCTGCAGATCATCCACATAGCATAGTTATTTTAGCAGGATCACTTTTATCCATCCGCATAACGTGCCCACCCAATTTAGGCAGTTTATTTTAATGGTTTTCACGATATCTGCATCACCAAAAAGTTTATAGAGTTCTAAGTTATATAGCCTTCTTCACAGATCCTGTTCATTAACTCTGCCATTTATGGTCCTTAATACTTTTTTTTTTTCAAAGACTCGTAGTAACTCTTTATCTCGATTCGTCATTGCCCATGTTTCCGATCCGTAGGTGAGCGCTGGTATTATTGTTTTATAACGTTTTCACTTTGTTGCTCTTGACATAATTCTTGCTCTTACTTGTAGGCCTAGGCCAAAATAACCGCAGTAAGTCACACATATTTTGTTTCTTATTTATTTGGACTGAATTTAATTTTTAGTTTTTCATTTTTTGTCATACATCTACTTATTCTGATTTCTGCAAAATGCAATCGTAGACTTTTTTCTTTTAATTTCGGAATATTCAGTGGTAGAATGTTCTAGCTGGTCTTCTAAAGTTGGGCTTTTGGAAACTATTTATTTAGCTTCATAGAATACCCTAATAATAATTTCTTTCTTCTTCTTCTTCTTGTGCCGTCTTCACTAATAGAGGTTGGCTATAACTATTGCAAATTCGTCTCTATCTTCTGATTTTCTTAAGAGCATCTGTGTGTTTAAGTCCAGGTCAATCAGCTGCAACAATTCGTACTTATCATTTCTAAGTATGTGCCCCAAATATGCTGCCTTTCGCCTTTTAATTTGAACCTGAATCGCCTGAACGTTGATTAAGTGCGTTTAACTGACATTCAAATCACCGATCGCTTCAGGCGTTGTTTCTGAGAGAACGGTTCATATGTTTTCTAGGGCGTAAAGATTCTTGGTAAATCGATTTTTTACTTTTTATCCCATACGAAAGGGGTTTTGTTCGTATGATTTTTAGAGGTTCAGTGATGACTGTGCCAATTTATGAATTTCATAGCTTTTATTATTGGCTGTGGGTATTGTATCAATATTTTATCTTCTAGTTTATTTTTAACATTCTAGAACTATCTTTAAAGTTTTGTTTATATATTTGGGTTTTATGATTAAATTTATCATATTTTTCTTTCACTAAGTAGTGGGGCTTTTAGAATGGTACAATTTAATACAGCTACGCCAGAAAAAAGGCGTATAAAACGATCTTACCATAAGCCTATGTCTAGACGTCTCATTCCTATACCTAACAATATTTTTTCATAGCTGTAAATGTTCGATTTTTGATAAATACTAAATAAACTAATTTCGCTGAAATATAATCCTCCAAAACCCTTAAAACTATGATCTCCAAACCAAACAAAAACGTCGAATTATTGAATCACCACATCAAAACCATATATTATTTGTATTTACTGTATTCATACCTTAAGCAAACATTTACAAACATAATCGGATTCAAAATCAAAACATTTCCGCCATTCAAATCATTTCGACTAGTTATAATTGGATTATTATTTAGAGTGTAATACTTGTTGAATCTATCTGTATATTTGTGAAGAGTAGCATTTATTTTTACCCAACGTCCTGTTCTATTTTCCTGGTTTATGCTATTGTTTTTATTTATAATACTGTGTAATGCGTGGGGCTGTTAATTTCGGAACATTTATTAGTTTTAGCAGGTGAATTTTATTGTGATAATTTCAAAACTGACCAAATTGCTCGTAGATTTTTTTAATTAATAGAGTAACAAGTGTCCTCTCTTGTGAGTTTTATCTGGTTTGTCTTAAAACCTTTCATTGGACTCTATATCCAAGGACCCCTTATGTTTGTCATTGTTGTCAATTATACGTAGTGTTATATTTTTTATTAATTCTAATTTATAGTTATAAATTTAATTTATTAAAGGTTTTACTTATAACACTCACAAATTTATTAAAGTCTTTATTTGTACTAATTTATTTTACAATAATTTATTACGAACGTACATTTAAATAAGCGACCGCGAATTTATCTTCTTACTAACTGGATTCCCCACAATAAAAATCCTGTATTTATATTAAATGTCGTCCTCATAGGATCTCTCTGAAGCAGACGGAAGTTGACCTAAATAGTCTCGAACTGGTTTTTTATAGCGGCCTGTTTCCAGAAAGGTCGATTTCTTAGTTGACCGCTTTCATACCGGAGGGGACCCTTCGTGTCAGGTAGGTTTTACCTGGAATTTCTACCATCAGGTCTATCGCTTTCGAATTTCCTGCCTTGGTCACTATGGATCTCCAAAGGCACTCCAAATCGGCTGTAATATTCTTGGATCAACTTATCTGCAACGGTGGTGGCCTTCTAGTCTGGAAGTGCGCAAATTTCGACCCACTTAGTGAAGTAATTCATTTGTACCAACATGTACTTGCCTCCATTATCACTTTCTGGAAATGGCCCAGCAATGTCCAAAGCTATTCTTTCAAACGGGCTTTCAACATTATATTGTCTCTTAGGAGCTCTCATTTTTCGATAAGGCCCGTTACTCGTAGCACAAATAGTACATTTCTTACACCAGTCTTTTACATCGTTGGAACTGTTCATCCAATAAAACCGTTCCCGAATTTGCTGAAGGGTCTTCTTCACACCAAAATGCCCTCCTGATGGACTGTCGTGTAACTGACGAAGTACTTCGGCTATTCTGCTCTTTGGGATCACCAACTGTCTTCTCTTCTCTGAACCGTCATCATTTTCCAGGACTCGTTTGAGCAAGCCATCTTCGATGATAAATGAGTCCCACTGAGCCCAATACGTCTTAACTACTGAGCCTAGGTTTGATATTTCTTGCCAAGGTGGTGGACGGTTTTCCTCTTTCCATTTTAGAATTTTCTGTACAACTGGATCTCTCTCTTGTTCTTCTCTTATCTTGGTAGGCGTCCAGTCATCGTTGACCATCGTCGTTCTTAGCACTGCTGCTTCCTTGGATTCCGTTTTGTTGCAGTGGGAACACTCTGCTGGGTATGGCCTTCTGGAAAGAAAATCAGCGTTTCGGTGGCTAACTCCGGCCCGGTGCTCAATCTTAAAATCGTATTCTTGGAGTCGTTCGATCCACCTGGCTATCTGACCTTCTGGATTCTTAAACTGCATCAACCACTTAAGGGTGGCCAGATGGGCCAGATATTCGAAAATGACCCAAGACTATGAAGACCTCGAATATATGACACGTAAACTTATCAAAGAATACGAACTATGAGGGCTAGAAGTAAATATTAAGAAAACTGAATACATGTGTATTGGGAGAATTTAACAAAATCTAATCTTGGAAGAAATACACCGAGAAATAAATCACTGTCAAAAATGCAAATATTTAGGCAAGCAAATAACCAACGATGGCAAATTAGACAAAGAAATTAAATATAAAAATAACCAGGGAAGACAAACCACTAGGCAATTAAACAGTGTACTGGGGGACAAAACAATCTCCAAAGAAAACAAACACAAAATCTATAACAGCATTACAAAAAGCGTTGTTAAGATATGGAATGAGGTATAGCCTTTGAAAGGAAAAAACTTGAAAGCATTAGAAACAACAGAAATGAACTTCTGAAGAAGAGCGGCTGAAAAATTAAGATAAGACAGAGTTAGAAACAAAAACAACAAACAATTATGGGTGTTAAGCACAATATAACAGAGGGCATAAGAATAAATCAACTAAGATGGTATGAACACGTCCAAAGAATTGATGAACACAGAATACCAAAGAAAGTATTGAACTGGACACCGCATAGAAGAAGAAAGCAAGGTAGACTGAGATTAAGTTGGAGAGAAGGAATCGATAAAGAGTTAAGAGAGAGGGGAGTTGAAGAAAACCTTTGGAACGACCGAGATAAATGGAAATTGAAAATCAGAAGACGTCGTAGAACGTTATAAACTGATTAATTGTGTATGAGGATAATGTGTTTATGCAGATTTATAATCCCCAAATATTATTTCTAACAATATTAATGACAGGTGTCGAATCAAATACAATTATGAAACATATAATATACCTATATAAAGAACCTCCTTTATCACAGTATGTCCTCCTACACCTTCTTCACTGGGTAAACTATGTATTTAGGATGGAAGAAAACAATCTTAATAAAAAAACTGTTGGGAAAGAGATCCAAACGAGAATGGCCATAGACCGTAGAGGTTTGCTGAGGGGGCAGGTCTCGAATTGGGCTGGAGAGCCATATGATGAATGAAAATGATATCTTCTTAAGAAGAAAATTAAATTGGAAATGAAAGAAGAAATAGGTTTAGATGCAAAACAACATATATTTTATCGACAATAGGAGTCTTTGATCGATCAAATCAATTCTTCTTATTACTTGTTCTGTTATTAGTCTTCCCGTAAATTACCTTCCATAAGATAATTCATCTCCGGATATTTTTACTACAAGTTTTCTATTACCTATGTTTCTATTGAACACATTCAGAAGGAAACATGGGCAGACCACTTTCGATCCCTATTTGCTAAAGGTGACGATAATGAACCAACCACACCAGAGGTGGCGGCAATCGAAGAAATACATATTGAGGAGAACGAAATAAAGGAAGCATTAAGAAATTAAAAAAAAAACAGAAAATCACCAAGAAAGAATAGAATACCAAACGAGCTCCTACAGTACGGAGGACAAGATCTCACAAAACAACTACTAAAGATAATCCAGAAAATAATAGAACAAACCCGAATTCCTCATGAATAGAGATCAAGCATCCCAATAAATCCTCAATACCTCTCTTCAAAAAAGAAGACAAATCGGACCCGGAAAATTACAGCGGAATTAATTTATTAAACACAACACTATAATTAATAACCAAAATGAATAACAAATGATAACAAATAAACTGAATTATAACACTAGCAGAAGAACAACAAGGTTTAGGTCAGGAAAATCAAGTACTAACGCTATATTTATAATAAGACAAGTGGACCTTAAGGAGGCATTTGAATTTATTATATTCCAAAGCACGTGGTGTTCGTGTGTATCAAGGTATAAAAAAATGCTTATTAAAAGCATACACACGAACACCACGTGCTTTGTATTCAACAGGTATACTAACCACTCCTGGATATCTCTACTTTATGGTTTTGTTCCAGTTTCATTTTTAGTTTCATTATATTCCGGTTTTCTATTGTCTTAATGTCTTCCTATGGGGATCAATATATGAGGGTCAAGTAAGGATCGTGACTTCCAATATTAAAAGATGCAGGCCCGTTGGATTGGATATTTCTATGTTTGATATAACTGTATAGCTAGCGTGTAAACAATCAAGCTAGTAGTCTACGCACTTCGAACTGTGTCCTAACCTACTAAGCTATTGAGTAGACCAATATTAGATCTTAACAACACAAAAAATCTTTAAACTTTATGTCTACTGAGTACTGTTATTATTTACGAGACACAAATCTACAGTTTTGCTGAATAAATATATTTTTCACGTAAGTATTACAGTATATAAAATATAATATATTGATCAATGTAGTAGCAATATAAGGATAACATTAAAAAAAAAATTTAATTTCCAAAAAAGTTTTACTACATTTGTTTTTATGAAATTAAATGGAAAAAATCGGGATATACTAATATTTTGGATCAAATACTTACTTGTTTTTGTTCCGCAGACTTAGAAAGGGCCGAATACCAGGTTTGAGGGTCCTCGCATTCATTGCCAATTGGATATGGCCCAAAGATCGCTGCCGTTCCGGTAGTCTGTCGAGCCTCACCTGGCATCCAGACTACCTCCATCCAGGTTCCCCCTCCAAATCTCTGGCCCGCATATCCAGGGCTGCAGACGGCCGGTTCGTCTTAGTTGATTCCGTACTGAGTCTACGCGCAGAAAGCACTTCTAACATTTCCAGCAGCGATGACGGAGGGTTTTTACCAAAACGAGGTGCTAAAAACCGAGCTTCGTGGCGTAGGCCACTTGTGGGCTATCCCAGTGAACTCAGCTTAAGATCCGACGCATCAGGACAATCGGCGTCGGGTTTTCCATCCTTCTTTATGGGAACAAGATACCAACAACCCGCTTTGAAACCAATTCAAACTATATACAGTCCGCAAACGCCCCAGTTTATGTCAAGCAGCCCAGCTACGTCTAGCGGACTGTTGTTATCTCCATGGACACCAATGTACTTCAGTGACTTAAGCTCGGTTAGGTATACTAGTTCCGGAGAGCGATCTTATCCAACACCACCAGGTTTCATGCAGTTAAAATCAGTCCACGAACGCTATTCACAAGAATTGCCTCCTCTAAAAGCTATACACGAGGAGCATCAAGGATTTATCCCTGTACATCCCATAAGAGACAGTCCTAGAGCCATACCACAACATCGGCTTATAAGAGGTTCCAGGTTCCTGCCCCCAAGACATGCAAGAATAGCCCGTAGCGCTCCAGAGCTGGACCATCTGGACAGATCGCCGGAAAGTAGATCTAGTTCGAGTGGTTTTGGTAGTAAAAATACCTCTCAGCAGAATCAGAGTTCCCATAGCGGAAGCACTTTCATGAGTTGGGGCCTACCTCCGTACAGACCACCTCCGCCAGTGCCATCCATGCTGCCTCCACCCCCTCCTTCGCTTGTAGGCCACTGGTTAGACATCGCTAGTTCTTCCCCATCTGCTTCAGATCACATCCACAAAGCCGTTGACGTCGGAAGCGTCGATGGTCACTACGAGTTTGACCCCAGCACACCGACTCCCACTCCTTCCACGCCGACAGGTTCCAGAGACATAGACTTAGACACATCCGGGCCAGGACCACCCATGCGGAAGAGCTACGGAATCATCCGAAGCAGGTACGACAACATCGACGCAAGAGTTCAAGCCATGAAAGAAGAGTTCAACGAGTTCAGAAAGAGGCAAGCCAACAGGAAACGCAGCCAGGAGTTGGAGAGTGTCTGTTGATATCCATTTTCGTGAGTGCGCGATTCCCATTTATCTATCCTGTGCCCCATTCACAGATCTATTAATTACTGTTATGGCTTATATTTCAATATTTGACTTAAAAATTGAGTGCAAACATGTTTCAAAGTACAGTCTCCAGCTGATAAAAACTAAGTTTGATTACATCCAAATTAAAAATATAACCATCAGCTCCAAAAAGAGATGTCACTATTTTATTTAAAACGTAATTCGCATTTAAGCCATGTGCATGCTTTGTTGTCAATGAATCAGTCTTTATTAATTACTCAAAATAGGATGTTATTTTTTTAAGAATATTGCAATGGCTTTTTAACACTTTTTAACTATTTAAAATGCTGAAAACTCTTTTTTATATATAATCTGTCTAATTAATGTACTTAATAACAGTTGATAAATGTTAATTATTATAACAACAATCATTAGACCTACCCAATGGCGCACAGGATTGATGATCTTTTCCTCAAAAACTTATTTTTGTCGATTTGAGTGTGATATCGTAACCTCTACAAGCAAAACGAAGCATGTTCTAAATCTTTTAATAAATTTGAAAAAAAAAGAACCAAATCAGACGTTATAAGATCAAATTAACTATTAAGAAGATTGTAAGGTACTTTTAAATTATGAAAACACTTGTAATAGGTAATTTCTAAAGTAGGTTTAAGTATGAAGCTCAATATTTGGATTGTGACTGGAAGCTATTATTCTCTCTTCATTTATGCCCCGAATATGTTTTCCTTTGTTTATATTTAGCTATTTGTTGCACTTAAATTGGAATTATGATCCTGGGTATAATTTTTATATTATATTTAACCCATCAAAGATGAAGTTTTTTTAACAAAATTAATTTGTTGGTATTAATTGATTTGATAAGTATTGAGTAACTGTAGTGGAATCAGCGAGCTAATATAAAGGTAGAAGACCAAACATCGGACGAAATAGAAATACGTAGAGGAGTACGACAGGGCTGTATATTGTCACCGCTTTTGTTTAATATCTACAGCGAACAAATATGCCAAGAAGCCCTCTCACATGCAAACGAAGGGATAATAGTCAATGGAGAAGTTATCAATAACATTCGATATGCTGACGATACTGTGATAATGGCAAGAACAGCGGAAGATCTACAACATCTAGTTGAAGGTATGAATGAGATATGTAATAACTACGGCATAAGGATGAACGTCAAAAAACCAAATATATGACCTTCAGTAAGAATCCAATACATGACACTAGTATCGCAATAAACGGTACCCAACTTGAAAAAATAAGCGAATACAAATATTTGGGAACCCTCATTAATGAAACAGGTGACCAAAATCACGAGATAAAAAGACGTATTGAAATTGCCAGGTCTACCTTGCAGAAATCCAGGCCGTAAAAGAATGTTCTGGATGAAAAATTTAAGAATCGCCATAATGATATCCAATCTCCGACAGGAAAGGCACTCAAAGAAGGCACTTCTTTTAATTTTACAATTTACAACGGTTTTTCAAGCCAGTAACTAAATTTAAACGAAAATATTGTTGTAAATGCCTGTCTTTAATGGGTTTACTTCTTTGTTACCAACTATCTGATATGTGGGCAACCAGTAATTCAGTTTCGTGTAGGGGAAGGTGGGGGAATGGTGCGCACCTAAGCGAGAATCGTTGTGGTGGTCAACTCTTAAACATAAAAAATAAAATAAAAACGTTATCTGATACCCTAATTATTCTACTTTCAGTATGCACTATAATAGATATTGAATTTCTTAACATAATCATATATAATTAGAAAAAGTAAAAAATTGCATTTGCGCACCGTTCCCCACCCCATGGGGTAACTGTGCGCACAGGGTGGGGAACAGTGCGCAGTAGTTTGGAATATACAAGTACCTAATAATACAGTGGTATAAAAACAAATTCACATGCAAGAACAAATATTTATTGTACGAGTGATTATATACCTATAATGTTAAGTAGGTATCTGTTTAACCTTGACAAAAGTCGCAAATGTATTGTTCGGGGGCATCTTTACCGGTACATGCCGCGTGGTTCCATAAGCCACATGCAACACACCGGTACCATAGTTCGCTTTTTCCATGTTCTCCACATATGCCACATAATTCAGTCCGCACGTCAGGTTCTGCATCAAATGGAACATAGTTGGGGTTGATATCGTCTACTTCATCATCGTCACAAATGTCACTATCGTCTATGTCAGATACCTCTGATGATTCAGGCGTTGCTGGTTTCTTATTTCTCCCTCTTTTAATTTCCGGAGACTGACATATGCGTTTTTTTTACTTTTTTTGCAACATTCTCTTTTGCCGTTATTTTTCTTGTAGTGGTTCCGTAGAAGGAGTGAGGTGGGATCGAGAAATAAGCATTCTCGATTTCATCTTCCTCGTCACGTTCTTGTGCATCAAGTTCAGGTGTTGGAGCCCTCTTCATTTTCTTATTATCTTTCTTAATATTGTTCTTTCCTAATGTTTTGACACTTTTTAATTTCATGTTTTTTTTCACGTCTTTTTCCCTTTTCTTTGCTTGAGCTTGTTCTAATCGTTCTTTTAGGGGTGTGCTAGTCAATATTTCAGAGTGTTGTTTCGAACGAGACACTGTTTTTACTCTTCCTTTTTCTTTTCTCCTTGGAATAGGTGCAAATTGGAAGAATGAATTATTTAATGTAGATGTCGATGGTAGATGGTTGTGTCCAGACTTAGATGTAGATGGTAGATGATCTTGTTCAGCGGTAGATGTACATGGTAGATGACCTTGAATAGGTAGATCCTGCTGCTGTTGTTTTGGCATATGAGCTGTCTGTCTATCTTCACCGTCTGAATTTTCACTAGGTTCGGGTGTTGCCGGATTAGGAATTTTTTGTAGATTTGGCTGAGATGCAAGTGTTAATAAATTAGCGCTACGTTCGGGAGAACCTTCTACTACAAACTGTCTCATTTCGTTGGCCGGAGCGAAATCATCTTCGTTGAATTTGTTAGGGTCAAATGGCCTTATTCCAGCAGAACGAAATCCCGAAACTGCTTTCTCCATCGATGCGACTTTTACGAACGCTTTATTTAACAGCTCAGCTACGTCATATTCAGTGATCTTTTCATGGCCTGTTGTAGTTAAATAAATATCATACTCCCTGTATAGCGCATTTTTTAAAGGACCAAAGAAGGATAGGTCAAGGGGTTGAAGGTGATGGGAAGTATGTGGCGGAAGGGACACCATATGAATATGATTTGACTTACAGAAATCGTATGCCTCTATGGATATATGGCTTGAATGGTTGTCAAGGATAAGGAGAATCGGGTCATTTAAAGTGGGATTTGCCTGTTTTTCGAAGTGCATTAACCAATCAAGAAAAAGTTCAGAATTCATCCATCCATTTTTTGAACATTTATAGTTAGCACCAGTTGGCCCATTTTTCTGCAGCGCAGGAGCCATTCTCTTTCTGGGATATATCAGCATGGGCGCGATATAATTTCCTGTGGCACTCATGCAAAATACGGCTGTAATGGTCCTCCCTCTTTCACCTGAAATAGCAGCTCCTACTTTTTTTACACCCTTACGTCCATAAACCTTCGGGCACTTCTTCTGTACAGTGGTTACACCCGTCTCGTCCATATTATATATCCTGTTTGCTTCAAATTTAAATTTTTGTAAAACTTTCTCGAGATTTGAATAAAAAAGTTTTAACTCGTCCGCATTAAATGCAGCAATTCGATTAAGACTAGTCCCCTCAGGCTGTCTCAATGATATTTCAGGATTTCGCTTGAGAAACCCATACAACCAATCTTTGCCTGCTAACTGAGTTTGTTTATTGAAATTATTTGGAATATTTTTCTGTTGAGCATAATTAAACGCTAACTGCCTCAGTTGTCGGGGCGTTACGCCGTAAAACAATTTTGCGAGTGTCAGAATATAGTGGGTTAATTCAGCTTCCACTTCTGCTGTAAAAATCGCCTTTCTACCGAGATGGGGGATTTTTAGTTGATTTAGAGAAAGCTTTTTTCTGAGTGTTGATTCAGGAATACCAAAAGACCTCCCAACTTCTCGTATTTTCCTCCCATCGTTTCTAATTGCATTCAGTGCAGTCTCCAGCAATTCATCACTATATTGATGGATTTCAGTCTTTCGAACGTAATTTCGTGGCATCTGAAAATAAAAGACGGATTTTAGTACCCAAAAACGATAACAATATTGCTTCATATTTAATTGATTAGTGGGTAACCGTGCGCATTTTCGCGCACGGTTACCCCACTATGGTTTAAAAAACGTAATTACATCATCCTACAAAAATTACTTATCTAAATGCAACCAAATGGTGTGCATATATGCAGCAGATGATATTCTTTAAGAATATAATTATTTCAAAACAAGTAGTTAAGATTTACGGACTCACCGTCTTAATTTGTGCAAGTGGAAAATAGTAACAAAAACCTCAAATGCACACTTTCGCCTTTCACTAAGTACACAACTCAACTGCAGTGGCAGTTAATGGCTTCAGAGACTCTGTGCATGTTCCCGCTTAAGCCTGTTCGGGAGGGGACTCTCAGTATGCCGCGTAATTTGAATTTTAATGGTGCGCACCGTTCCCCACCGCGCACGGTTCCCCCACTTTCCCCTATATAATATTGTACTGACTGGTTAATTTTCATAATAATTAGTCAGAAGAATGTCAAAGACATTCGCAGATTATGGTTTAATATCTTCTAAAGTATGAGAACTTTTTTTGTGCTAATGCTTATGTTACGTCTTGATTACTATATGCTGTACTGAAAACAAATATTATTTTATGTATACTTCGTAATCTAGTATCATGTTCCAACTGATTTTTTAATTGCAAAAGTCGACAAATAATTGAGTATGAACAAACAGAATAGATGTTTTGTATTTTCTTTTAAGCAAACGTTTATATTTGTTACTTTCACTTTCAGGCAAAGCCAAAAAATATTTTGCCATATGCTCCCATTATAATATTCCTGGGTAATTATAGGTGGA